CGTTACATTATAACTCCCCCACGGCTCAAAGGGCAAGCATGTTTGGTGTGAGAGGGATTCGAACCCGCGACCCTCAGATTGCGAGTCGAGTGCTTTAACCACCTGGCCATGCCGGGCCTAGTAGAATGGATTAAACGACTGGGGGTACATCATAACCCAGTTATACAAACATTACAGTTTCATACAAGTTACCTAACTCTATTTTCTGAAAATACGTTATTAACTGTAGTCATAGTCGATTATATGAAGCACCTTATTTTGATATAAAGAAATACTTAAGATCCACAGATGTTAAATCTTCGAAGTAAGAGTGTTACTGTCTACGCCCAAGAGACGTAATTATCCTTATCAGTCAAGCATTACTCATAGAAAGTCTTGTAAATTTGATTTCTATGTGAATTTAAATGCCTATAAAATGTACTCACCTGTATACTTTATATATGAAATCTTCAATCCTTAAGGGTTAAACATAAGGAGTTATCATATCTCAAAAGTATGGTCACCGCTAATGCAACGTTTCTCAGTACTATATCAAGATAAATATTCGTTTGAAATAGGAACTGATACTACAAAGTAGGTGTATATAATAATCATAAATTTTAAAATAGGCGAAGCAGTGAAACTGGTGAGTATTTCAGAACGAGATCCTCTTGGAAGTTCATTATCTAGATAGCTGATAAAGCGTCATGTAAACGGATATCACGCTGGGCCATCTGAATAAGTTTATTGAGACTAATATAAGTTTAGACTTAAAGCTGAACCTCGTATTAGACAAGCGAAACCTGTATCCATTACATGTTTAAAACAATTCTCTAACCAACCCATACTTATAACTGATATTTTATATTTAGACATTGCTTAGATACTTTGCTGAAGATATAGAAACATTAAGGTAGAATAGAGCAAAAAAAAGTAAAACAACTTTTAATACTCACAAGACTAAGGCTTATAAAACAGCAAAATTAATGTTTGTTTTGGGTTTTTTAAAAGGAAATTGCAAAGAGAAAGTAAATTTTGCTTCCAAGCTCCCTCTAGTAACGTGCAAGCGCAACTATAGTCAGTACTATTTATTTACTTACCAGTCAGTTGATACTATGAATCCTAGAAACACCTAATGAGATTTCTTCATACTACATAAAGTCGTGTGCTCATGTTTACGACCTAAGGCTTTATTTTTTATATTTTATAAAAAAATAGTATTGTAAAATAAAAGAGAGCTTATCACAAAACATTATTTCAAAGAAAGATAAAAATCTATATTAAGAGATAGACTTGATTTTGTTAGGTGATATTCATTTTGTCTATAACTACGATTCTCACAAAGACTAGGTAATTGCCTTTTCAACATATAGACGTTGAATATATAAGATCCATACAGAGTTCCAAGAATAGAGATGACTTTGTCAACTAATATTACTAAACAATATGTAATTATGATATCCAACGACACATTCGCTCCACAAAGGAACATAAAGTACTTTAAATATATAAATAACTTTTCCGTGCTAAAATGCAGCACTGATTTCCTCATAACTAACAATGACAAAAGGAATAAAATGAACGTTCAAAGAGGTTGTTTTAAGCCATTGAAGAAGATTATAACTAATTTATAATTCAATGTAATACTCAAGGTGGCTGACTGTTCGCACGAAATGACTTTATAAGGTGTATTCAGAAACTGATTTCCTCGCATTTAACATTCATTACTAATCAATAATGGCCTTGCTTTGTTAGTTAGATAATTTGTTGAACAATACTCTAAGTCTAAGTAGTCTAATTGTTTGTAAAGTAGCTACTCTACGACATTTTGGCTGCTGTAATCTGCTGCCATCTTTGATTAGTTCGTCCTGAGAGGGCATGTTAGGATAATCCAAACCCTGGATCCTTGAAACAAGTAGCGGAATTATTTCCTAGTGGATTGACTGGTTTGTATCCTCTTTATGGTGTTTGATATTATATTTATATTTTTGCAAGTAATAGCCATACAATTAATGTTAACTTCAACCCATGATTTTCTTAAAGAGTTTTTAGATGGATAGCTGTGGAAATATTCTTAAGTATTTCTTTTCTTCCAATGTGACTTTATTCTCTACGCTTAGATTTTCATTTTAACTAGAATCGTTGTTTTCTCAATGCACCCACTGTCATATTGACATGGAATGCAATATATATTACGTTTTTTCCTGTTCTTATAAACAATGAATTTTAATCCTTATAAGTAGAAACGTAATAAAAGTATATTCAATTAGCTATACTGATTGTCAGGTTGATTTTTAGTTTCGCTCAAAGTACACAGTTTGCTCTAATCTAAAGTTAATATTAACTGATAGGGTTTTATGTGCATTTTAAGTGTTATGACTTTTGTAAATATTTCTTATCTTTCAAAGCACTCTAAAAGATAAAAGGTCGGCAACCCGCAACTCTTTAACTATACACATTTGAGTCCCACACAATATACTGTCCACATTGAAAAACAATCAATATATTTCACGTTGCATGAGCTCGAATAGTTAGAGTCTGCATACTAACCATGTTCATTTAAACTTTGTAAGAAAAGAGTTGACTGAATAACTTGCTTTGATTAGATATCCTTGTGTGTTAATCATGGTAAGTCCAAGTAAGTAGAACCTGAGCTGTTCGCGTGTATTTCGGTTCTCCAAATTTGTTTATTTCTGTCCAACCTCCAAAAAAACTCTTAATACTCTATGAACCGTTTCTGATCCCTGGTATAAGTTACGATGAGACTAGAGATTGTTTACTCTTTGTTACTTACTCTTTTCATTTCTGTGTAATCTTCGATGTTTCCTTAGAATACCCATTATTTATTAACGTTATAGTAAAGTTAACAACTTCTTACTATGTAGTTTAGTATTTGTTTGCAAACTAGAAACTCCACCCAGTCCTTCTTTACGTTGTTTGTACAATATGTATTCTTTATGCTTACTTGTATCAGTTGGTTTTTCTCTATACCCTAGTGACAAGATAGCTGTCTGTTTTTCTAGCCATTACGTTTAGCAAGAGAAGTCTGTTACCTGATTCTTTTTCCACAACAAATGTAATGGCTGGTCGTTGATTAATAAACTAACAAGACAAGGTTATTAGCGGCTAATAATTAATGTTAGCCACGTTCACTAGTGAATCGCCGAAAATGCGTTAAAGTAACAACTTAATTTTCTAAAAACTAGAAATGCAGTTTTCGCTTACTATAATAAAATATTAAAAATCATTTACGTTCATTTGAGAAATGGTTATCGCCAGTCATCTTTATAATGTTCAATGTACGATTCGACAGAACTTAAGGCATGGTAATTTGTAATGATATAAGCAATATCTATGGTTAAAAAAAAGTGGAATAGAAATTGTTTCAAAACAGAACACCTTTGAAACAGTAAAATGTAACGACAGTTTTTGTGTTCACTGCAAAATCAGATTTTCTGTTTTAGATAAAGAAATATATCCGCGTTAGTCCTAAAATATACATATTTAATTTAAAGAAATATAACAACAACTATACTTGAACAGTCAATAACAACATACTCACCGCTGGGAATAAACAAGGAACCAGAGGGCGTCCTTGCTAGGCACGAAGTCTCAAAATCGCGATCGGTTTCCCGCCTCAGAGTGCTAGGATTCATGTGTGGGAGAGATTGTTTACCGCCCCCTGAACCTGCAATATTCTTCCCGCTGGATCTATTCATGGACAGGTTTCTAACAGGTACTGTGGCTTGCTGTGCAACAGTGGGATCAAAAAGACCTGCCAGAATACATAGAATTGTTGATTGTTACCTCTAATTCAACAAATTCACTGCAAGTATTTTATTGAAGTACACAGTTAATACTTTAAACAATGTGCAAGTGAACATTCCTTTCTAACTGTTTACGTATGCATATTATTTTACAGATACATACCGACTTAAGGTATTTTCCTAAGAAAACAACAAAAGTTTTATAATCTTGGAAAAATTACACTTTTAGAACAAACTGATGCAAAGCATGCATGTAATTGCTCAGTAGAGTGGAAAATCTGTTTTACATTAACATATTCAAAAATCTATATACATAGTGAATAAAAAATAATTGTTTACAAAAAGTGAATGAAAAGGTTATTATATTCACCCCAGAATTCTGAAATACAAACAGTATTTTAGAGAAGTATGAATAGTTAGGGTTAGCAGGAACTTTTAACTACTTTCAGAATGAGCATAGCGTACAGTATTAGCTTATTAAAAGAAGATAATGGTAAATAAATGTAAATGACAGCTGAATAAATATATGAAATTTTACACTTTTGTGAAATAATTGCAGATAACTAATAAACTTTCAGTGGCGCAGAATTTTTGATGAAAGTTAAAACATATTATTTGTGTATAAAATATCCTGAAATTTTCTTCAATTTTTAACCGAGAGACATTTTACAGTATGAAACTTGTTTTGTAACCTCTACAAATTTTCATTGTTTATCGATTGTATAGATATTGCCACGATAATATATGCTTATCTTCGATTCGTGCATGCAAAGAGCATTTAGTTACCTGGTATTACTCGCCTAATATACAGTGAAGCACCCATTCAAGGGAGCAGTATTTTTTAATGTAATTGGTTAGGTGTAGTCACTCTTAACCACACGGCATGTAAAGAAAATTCATATAATATATATAACTTTGAAAATGTGTGTATATAAACTTCGAAGTTGTTTGAATGAATAAGATTGACAATACAAATCTGTTGCACGGATAAGATGACTCCCCAGAAGTCTAGTAAATATAATTATCATTCTGTTAAATATATATTTAAACTGATAGTAACATATCGTAATACGGAATCCAACTATCTATACTTAACAGTCGAGTGGGGACAGGAAGGGATGGTCAACGTTAAAAAACAAAAAGTAAAGCCGATTCTTCTGACATATGGAATCTAACTATCTATACTTGAAAGTCGAGTGGGAACAGTAGGGATGGTCAACATTAAGAAAAAGAAGAGTAAAGCGGATTTTTCTGACATGTGGAATCCAACTATCTATACTTGAAAGTCGAGTGGGGGCAATAGGGATGGTCAGCATTAAGAAAAAGAAGAGTAAAGCGGATTTTTCTGACATGTGGAATCCAGCTATCTATACTTGAAAGTCGAGTGGGGACAATAGGGATGGTCAACATTAAGAAAAAGAAGAGTAAAGCGGATTTTTCTGACATACGGAATCCAACTATCTATACTTGACAGTCGAGTGGGGACAGTAGGGATGGTCAGCATTAAGAAAAAGAAGAGTAAAGCGGATTCTTCTAAAAACAACCACAGTATATTACCGAGGCATTAAACTAGGCATATTTTTGTTTTAGCCTATGGTATCAAAACTATCTATGTACCACTATTTGAAATAGCAGTCAGTAACTTCAGTTTCACACTTACTTTTAGCAACAGTCTTATCTATAATTATAAATTTCGGATGTTGAGATCCTACTAACAGAAGCTGCTATTATTATCTTGTATGAAAGCGATTCTCTTCTGTCCCATAATACTCGACTTGGTGTACTTAATAGGATATTACGTCTGAGCATATTTGATACACAGCATTTCAAGAGTAATCTTACTTACTCCGCACTGTCTAGATTCTCTTTGTATAAGTATATGAATATTGTTTTCAGAAATCAAAGTGTTTCTAGTTGAATTTGAACAAGTATGTTTGATTAACGACAAGAGGTGCATTTGCTATATACATATGTACATGGATCTCGGGGACAGGAATACTCTCTCTCTGGTATAATTCTGTGATATTCTATATAATAGAATACAGTCAACAAACAGTAGGCCTTTAAAGTGCTTAACCAGGTACTTATGAATATATATATATATATATATGTGTGTGTGTGTGTGTGTGTGTGTGTATAAGCACACATATGTATCTTACATTACATTAAATATATTATGTAAGGTACTATATGATTATACCCGTCACGTTTGCTTTGCTATTTCCCACACCTTATTAACGCATAGATCCTATGAACATGTTGAGTGGCAGCATTTCTCTGTTGTCCTTTAGCTTAAACGTACTGCAACCGTCATCACGATCCATCTATCGCACGCCTTCCATTTCTCCTTCCGCTTGTATGCAGGATAATGCAAATTGTCTGACAATACCTATACGCAGATCTGTGACTCCCTTGTAAATGCCACACACCTCGTTATCTATGCAAGACTGCCGAATGCAGATGTGTTTCCTCTAGTCGTATAACCTTCATGATTCTAGCTCTACACCTTCAGAATAATAATGAACGAAGTTATACTTTACATCTGGACAAATTAATCCAATCCCTTTGGTCCACAAGATTTCTAATAGAAGTTGTAGAGAAACGCTAGAAGTTATGCGTTTCAACAGAAAAACTTGTTTTAAAAGAAGCAATGAAAACCGAATTACATTAAATATATATATATATATATATATATTACTCTGTCGTATTTATTTCATGGGATAACATATTATGAAGTAGAAAGTTCTAGTTACAATTAAATGTTTCATGTGAAGCTATATTAATAGAAAATATTGGATTATTTGTATCGTGTGGTACGCAATGTGTTAAAATATTCTTATAAAAATTATATTAAATAGTAAAACCCGAAATATCAAAAGCCTGTAATTCTATTTTTTTGTAGCATAACTATTATACAAAGAATATGCTCCTAACTAGTACGAAAATGGAAAATATACTTTACTCTCTATACTGAATTTCCAAAGATGCATCTTGGAAACCTGGAAACAATGAATAAAGGCAGATACGGTCTGAATAAAAGTGCACACTAAAAACAGTTGATTATTTTAATGCGAGTACCGAGTTGGATCGCCATTTCCTCGGTGGAAAATTAATGCGAGTTCATATCCATTACATTTCTATTCAAACAAAGAGATAGCTCGTGCATATTATTACTATATGAATATTTGTGAAAACTACATTTAGAAAAAATGGTTACATTTATTATAAATGATATCACGGTAAACCATGTTTCCCTAAAATAGAAAGTTTTTACTTTTATAACCACTTTGTACTTTTTCTAAAAGCTCTTTAGAACCGTCAGAGATCTCAGAGCCCGTTTGCATTTTTGTATACAGACAAAAACAATCAAACATATTGCCATCGATCTTTTCCAAAACAAAAACATAATGCAGAGCATATGGAATATAAATAAGAAACGTTCAAAAAAATAACGTTTCCTCTAACAAAAGATGCATATACTCAGCCAAATGTACTTTTTACGAACTTTTAAAGATTTCATCAACGATCAAACGTGTCGGCACGCTGGTCGAATGAAAACAGAAATTCACCTTCTCAGTAATAAGACGAAATATATTTTAGTGAAAGAAAAAAAAGCTACTTTGTGGGAGATTTGTTCCGAACCCAGATTAAATATGAAAATCTATCTCATTACTGACCTAAAATGCAGAACAATGAAATAATCACCAATATACTATTATCTTTGTGATTTGTTGATCACTTGAGTAGATTTCCCAAAATACACTGAATAAATTGTTTGTTTATTTATTTATTTTAGAGTAAAGCCACATTGAGCTGTCTGCTGTTTCCACCGCGTGGAATCAGACCCCGCATTTTATCGTTGTAAATTCATAGACTTACCACTGTCCCACCATGGAGGGGGTCTACACTAAAACAAAACGAAACTGTTTAGCTTGAAAATAAAAATGGTGCAGCCTTGTTATCTAACGTAAGTTTAATAATTTTGTTTTAGAAACGTAAGAGCTCAAGAAAAACTTTGATGTATCATAGTAAAAATAATCTAATATTGTGACTAATGAACACTGATAATTCAAAGCATTACTGGAGTATATTTTTCATGTTCTACGACTATTGCTACAACAAATAAAAATAACCACTTAAACTATTTAAGCTAGTACGTTTTTTAGATCAAATATTTATATGATGTTGTTCATGTTCAGACTAAAAACTTACGATTTGCTGTGAATGAACTTGAAGCTAGAAGTCAAGAAATCCCTCCGAAAATGCATTAGATGGATAAAATTCCAGCAAGTTTGTCAGGATCTATACGTATTTAACATCAAACAAGAAACTACAACTTGTTGTCAGTATTCATGTGCACAGTGACACGTTATTAACAGACAAGACGCTAATCGAAAGGTATAAAAATTCGGTTTCTTCTTGAAGCACAGAAACAGGTGAAAGTGTTATCGATAATTAACTTGAGCCAGTTAGTTGAAGCCATTGACGAATCATAAATCGCAATTACACAACTGTCCCCTAGCGCACCTTATAAATGGTTATATGACACGACAATATTGTAGAAACGTCTTTTGACAGTCAAGTTCGATGAAATATAGATAATACAATGAAGCACAACTTTCACGTTTCTTTCAAAAGCAATTTAAATTATAATATAAAAAAAAACACCAGTTAAAACAGCTTACCAACCATGACCGAATATTATTAAAGCCAACATCTACTTTATGGCCATATAATACATTGTAATCACGCAAATACAGAAGTTGTAGAAGCCTCTTTCCCGGTATTGATGTGCTCCACTTGATTACGTTCCGTCGACTAGTACAGTTCTCAGTTGCTTCTGATGGTTTTTGTGTAATATCCTATGAATTTCTTCCCTACTCCGAGTTGGTTGTTTGCTGCACGTGCTAGCATGCGGCTGCAGTTCTACCCTCTCCACTGATGACTGCGGACACTCTTGGGCCGCCGAGTTCTGCAGCTATTCCTAGCTTGAGCGCTGAACGCGCGA